TTTTTTTTTTTTTTTTTAAATAGAGAAGGGAGTCTCACTCACTTGCCCAGGCTGAAGAGCAATAGCATAACCATAGCTCACTGCAGCCTCAAACTCCTGTCTTCAAGCAATCCTGCCTTGGCCTCCCAAAGTGCTGGGATCACAGGCATGGTAACCCACACCTGGACATTTTAACCATTTTTAAGTGTACAGTCCTGTGGCATTAAGAACATCTGCAATTTCATAACTATGCATTTTCCATAACTTTTTCATCATCTGCAACTAAAACTCTGTACTCATTAAACAGTAACTCTCCAACTTCCCTCCCCACAGCCAATTCTTAACTTAGCTCCTTGCCTGAAGGCGCACATCACCATAAAAGTTTCAAAAACAGCTGGAACAACTCAGTACAACTCAGTCCCATGGTGAACACTTCACCCAAGGGAACTCTCTCTCACCGGGGGGCACCCTGCTCCTGAAACTGCACCTAAGAACGGGCACAAATGCAGAATCTTGCCCAGGTCCAGGAAACAAAGGAAATAGGAAATGCATGTACCTCTTGGAGGTTACTGGTCCGCAGGTAGCCACTCTTCTGTAAGATGGACCAGGCTATCTCTGTGTCATTCACATTCATCTGGCAGCCATAGGTCTCAAGGTAGACTGCAGTGAGAGGTTGGGGGGAATCCATGGTAGACAGACAAGAAGGGGCCTCATGTCTCAGAAGGTCTCCCTCCCAAATGATCTAGAAATATCTGAGGCATCTGGTTATCCACTGAGTCCCCTATTGCCTCAATCCTAAGATAACATAAATTGCCAGATGTACTCCCAAATTAATGACAGACCTTCAGAACAAAAGAAATACCATATTAGGCTGGGCTCAGTGGTTCATGCCTATAATCACAGTACTTTGGGAGGCTGAGACAGGAGGATTACTTGAGCCCAGGAGTTTGAGACCAGCCGGGGCGACATAGGGAGACCCTGTCTCTACAAAAAATTTAAAAATTAGCCAAGTGATACATGCCTGTGGTCCCAGCTACTCAGGAAGCTGAG